AAACGCATCACAATGGGGCAAAAATCATATTTCTAGGATAAAAACTGTAGGACTAGTTCTTACTTAACTGTGGAAGAAGAAGAAGAAGGAGAAACCTGAACATTTGGTGCATGCAGGCATGCATGCATTCATTTGCCGTAAAACTATCTTATGGAAGTTTTTTACTACTTTTGATAACACTGAAATGTTTTGATGAAATTATAAAGGACATTTGGACTGTCAGATAAGCCACAAAGAGTTTCTAAAGATATTACAAGGGCTCAATGCTTCTGGGATGGCAGCCATTTTGGGGGCGCGCTCGTCCAACTCAACCCTACATACCAAGCGCTAGCGCTTGGTAATAAGGTCCAGTCATAAAGGCACATGTCAATGTAAGAGCAGTACTTTTGGGAGTTCTTCAGTAAACAACAACCATTGCTTTTGACTGCAGAGGCAATATCTATGCTCTTTTATTACCACATCTAGTAGTTTCAAATTCATTGCAAAATATGCTGATCATCACATCAGTACATTACTCTTAATAGAGTGCCCTGGACAACAACAATTAAACCTCAAATAAGCTTTGATTGAGTCGTCTTTGAGTACAGAAGATCAGAAACACAGCAGGCCATTGTCTAGTATCTATGAATGCCTACAATTGTTTTTTACAACTTGCAACACTGATTATTATAACTAGAATTCATAAAATCATGAAACAATGATTTTAAAAATCTTTTAATTTCTTTTGAAGTTCTTTTTTAATTAAAGCCTGGTAGAGTGATGAAATGCCAAGGTCACGATAGACATCATCACTTGCAAGCAACAGCATTTCTCCATCAAGTTCATTTTCTCGAACGACCTACAAAAGTGAATAAATCTATTATTTTTACATACAAATACTTTCATTAGCTAAATTCAAAAATTAAGTTTTGCTAATTGAGGCTAAACAAACAACAATGTTCAAACTGGCAGTAAATTATTTTTAGCAGTACCAAGTTAACAATCTACCTTTGCATATTGACTAAATCGTTTATTCTCCATCAAAAATTGTGCTAACAGTTCAGAAGAAAACACATGCTCCAGCTCTTTTTTCTCTAAAAGTCTTTTAAATTGAACCTGGAACCTCAGTTCATAAATTCTGTTGGGTATTTGTAGTTCTTTTAAATCTGGCGATGGCATAGTCAAAAGGGAGTAGACTATGTCTCCACTGATTCCAGTTGTCTGAACAAATTCAGCACTATCATGCAATCCCATTCTTTTTAATAGTTGAGCAACATCAGTTTCTGTAAGTTTGCTAGCTGCTTCTGATAGATCCTCATCTATACAAAAAAGCTATTAATGCAATTACTTTTACAAGTGTATACTACAGGTAGCAACTAGCAAATTTGTACTGTTATCAAGAAATGTTAAATAATATTGTAATAAACATGCTACCTTCTATCATGTATGAACTGGGATGTTGCTTGGGCATTGCAGGATTAGGAGCAAAAGCTCCCGCTGTATTACTGTCAGTGCTAATGGTTAACTCCTCAACAACTGCATCTTCAGCAGCTCTATCTTGAATACTTAAAATTCTAGAAAGGCTAGTGTCCATTATCAACCTTTTTCAATAAATTAACTAACTTACCTTGTAAAATTAGGAGAAGGGGGAGAGTCAATTATTGCATTGTCTACTTTTTGCTTCATTGTCACATTGTGTTGCTCTTTCTGTCTTGTTTCTAGAAGATGCAATAACCTCCTGTGTAAAATAAAAAATAATAAAAATGATAACAAAGGAAGACAGCCTTTTATTATCTAGGCAATCTACAACTCAGTGCACTATAGTACAGGGTATTTTGTCAAGGAAAGAATGGTCTCATGTAGCCAGCCCCTCCTGTTGTGAGGAGGGAGCACCACTTCCTACTTGCGGTGGGAGAGGCTGGCTAGTAAGACTAAGGAGAGAATTTTTTCTGGTGCATGTACATTATAGGTTCAAATATGTACATGGACATGTTTCATGAAATAACAATGAGATGGTGAATCTATTTCTGATAAAATACTTGGGCCCATACATTTTGAGAAACTTTAAAAATTAAAGTTTTGACTGGAATCAGTTCAAACTTTCTAGAACATGTACTGTATAGCAGGTTTATTCCAAGGATAATAAATTTAGCGAATTTTGCAAATTTTTGAAGATTCACAAAATTAAATTCCTTGAGAATCATTTTAAAATGGGACAAGATGGCAGAAAAGTGGCAAATTGCGAAAATTAGTTCCGATATGGGCCATTTGAGAAAATTAATTCTGATATGGGCCATTTGCAAAAATTATTATTCTCGAATTAAACCCACTATACAGTATATCCATCCAAAAAAATTATTAAAATGGAAAGAATCCAACCTTTTCATTTATTGATGAAATTTGGCCAATGACCCTGTATATAGGGTCTTTTGCCCGATTTGGAGCAACTTAAAAAATTTGAAAAAATTTTGATTGGAGTTGTCTCAAACTTTCTACACAACATTATTAGTACATGTATTATATATGTATCAAAATGTAATAAAAATAAAAAAATTTCTCTTTTTCATTTTGATAAAAAAATTTGACCAATGACACTAAACTAAGAGAAGTCTTTGACTCAATTTTTGAAACAATTTAAAATTTGTAAATAAATTTAATTTTAGCTCAAACTTTTCACACAACATAAATACATGTATATGTTACTGTAATAAAAGTGAAACATTCTTTCCTTTTCATTTTTGATATAATTTTGCCACTAAGTCTTTTGCCCAATTTTAGAGCAATTTAAAAATTTGTAAAAAATCTAATTTTGATCAGAATCAGCTCAAACTTTCTACACAACATAAGTGCATTGTTATGCAAAAAAATTATTGATTTTTTCCTTTTCCTTTTTGATGAAATTTGGCCAACGACTCTTGTCTTTTGTGCAATTTTAGAGCAATTTTAAAAATTTGTAAAAAAATCCAAATTTGATCAAAATCAACTCAAACTTTATATACAACATAAGTACATGCATCTGCACCAGAAAATGTCATTAAAGTGAAAATTTTTCTCCATTTTTATTTTAGATAAAACTTGGCAAATGTCCTTAACAAGTACAAAATCTTTGACCCAATTTTGAAGCAACTTTAAAATTCATAAAAATTTAAATCTGATAAAAATCAGCTCAAACATGCCACACAACATACGAACATTTATATGCATCAAAAAGTTATAAAGATGGAGAATTTTTTCCCAGCCATTTTTTGACAAAATACCCTGTATGGTTTTTGGTCATAATTTCTGAGGAACTTTAAAAACAATTTTGGTCATAATCTTCTATGCAGCATAAGTACATGTATATTTATGTTATGTTGTTAAGAAAGAATTAATTCAGAGAGGGTGAGCAGCATCTTTAAAATGGCTATTCTGTAAAACTTAAGTGATATATAATAATTACTTTATGGCAAATTATTTGAATAATAATATGTATGTACATATACCTTCTTAATGCCAATTGGAGATGAACATAGTATTTAATTGATAGAGAAAAGATGTATGAATTTAATTTCCTCTCTTTATTGACATCACAAATCTATTCGAATTAAAAAACATACATTGAATTAATGTTTATTAGTCTATACTTTAGTAGATCTATCATCAGTGGCTTTGTAGCATATTAGCCTCTCCATTGCAAATAATTGATGAATAGCATTTTTAACAGTCTCTTCATCTATAATAATAACACAATATAATTATTTTATGATTAAAATATTTAATACATGCAAGCATGAGTATTCAAACAGTCAGACTCATATGTAAACAATTCAATGTACCTTCATTTTCAATCTTCTCCAATATTTCTTCTTTTTGATTAAGATTAACTTTTAAATCGAAAGGAAGATGACTGAAGTCATAAAAGCCAATCTTAACCCATTCGTGGAACAACTCAGATATATCTTTCACATGTGCAACATGAGTCTCAGACAAATAGTTGTACTGGTTCATAAGAAGTCTAAAAATAGAAAACAAAAATATATACACATGTATCAAGAGTAAAATGTGCAATTATTTATGTGGTACTAATCAGCTGTGTACATGCATGCAGGCTTACCCTGATCTGATTTTATCAGCAGCACACAATAAAATACCAATATCATCAATCTTAATTTTATAATAATTATTTAAGAAACTTTTTATTGTGAGCTTATCAATTCCAGTCTCTCCTTGACTAGATTTCTATAAAATAATAAAATTGAACACATCACACACTCTTGATTATACCTCTAGTAGCATCTTCAATAATAAGCAAAGGCCACCACAAACACTCAAAAGCCCATCATAAGATAGAGAATGAAATACAGTCTCAATTTCATGTAGCTCCATCTTTGTCAGTGTAGCCTAAAATAGAATATTGTAAATGAGCAAAGTGAGCAAAAATTACAAAAGTTATGCCAATAGAAGTGGCAATTGGCCATGAACTGGCACACATCTCAAGGCTGTACACATGTATAAAGGCTATACTGTACAGCGGGAAAATTTGGAGGGACTAAAATTTGGCAAATTGCTAAATTTTGATGATTGGCAAATTTTAATTTGGTAAATTTGTGGCCACGTACTGTTGAGCATGCATATAATGGCTCAAAATCGCAGATTTAATTTTTGCAAATGGCTATCAAAACGCAGAATTCGCCAAATTCAATTCCCTCCAAAATTTCCTGCTACATAGTATATGTATGCTATTATGGTACACATTGTGCATGTATATGCTCTAGCAATAAATGAAATAGGAAACTAATAATAACTTAATTCTCTAATAATGATAGCTCACCATAAGTGAAGGATAACGGCTAAGCCTTTCTACTGTGTCTTTATAGCCATATGTTGCTGTATAAAACCTAAAAATTGAACTTAGAAATATCGTTAATAATTAACTTTACTTACAATTCTCTAGAAACTTCTTCACAAGTGGAGCATTCACTGAAGGCAAAACGCTTTAAGAACCCATTCTTTTCCACAAACTGCTTATGTACTATGAACTTTTGAACAACTTCACTTTGAATACCTTCAAGAAAATACACCTACAAAGGTAATAAAAATATATTTGTGCAGCATTATAATTAAAAATCATAATTTATTCACATTATATGATACTTACCCCAGGCATGACATTGTATGGTATAGAAGGATCAAGTTCATAGTTATCATAAAGATTAATATTGACATCAAATGACTGGTAATTCTCAATAATAGTCTGTAAATCACTAACATCATAACAACTGTGTAAAAGATACAAAAATGTGTACACATAGTTAATTAATGCATTGTAACTGTAGTATAACATGAATTCCTTCTATGCTATATAGAGTAATAGCAAAATTTAAAATAATTTTGATTAATTAACAATTATATTTTTTGCAAGAATTGACACAATCTGATATACTTTTTTGATACTCCAAATGAGCAAGTGTGCTGTGTAATCTCCCAGATTGGTATCTTAAACTGTGGCTTGTAGTTCACAAAATGATAACTTGTAGAAAAATGAGTATAAACAATCTCAAGGAAACGATTGTAACTGTCAACCTATCATAACAACACAAATTTTTTAGTAACGTGCTGAATTTAGTATAGTCTTACTATTTGAATTATGATTCTGTACAGTATACCCTTTGCATAATCAGTTGACACCATGTCGTGAAATGTTATTTCAGTGCTGAATGTTTCCAAGCTTGATTCTTCAGTTAAGGAAAGCATTGTGTAGTGATCATACATTTCTATAAATACAATAGAAGAAAATTATTATTAGCTTTCATGTTATCTATTTGCATTTATAGCATGTAGTATTTCAGGTAAGAAACAGTAACATTATTCATTCTGTTACCTTTGATTTGATGCAACTGGCCTAGTCTTTTCTCCTCTTGGTCAGGAAAATGTTGCTGAAGGATGGACGTCAAGACTTTAAAAGTTGAAGTACTTTTAGCTACATCCAATGTAACCATGTAACATGTTTGAGAGTGTATCCAATTGTAAAGATCTATTAGAACAGGTAGGAGGTGAGCACCAGCATTTAGTGCTGGGCGTCTCAACAGGAACTGATAGAGGACATAGAGCTTTGAGTCTACATTGTAGAGATTATTTGAGAATAGGATGCAATATAAGAATCCATTCTTGGCTGGGCAAATATTTAACTCAGGAACACTCCTAGATAACTCCCTAACATGAATTAATAATATATTAACAACAATAATATAATTATACTTACCTCATCACCTCACCAACTGTACTACCAAAAGTTGAAAATTTGATTTGAGGAGACTACATTGATATAGTATTAAAAATTTGAAGTACAAACATACACTAAAAAAGTGATACCTTCATCAACCTCCATGCTTGCAAAAAGACTTCATTATGAAAAATACACTCATACTGAGCAAGACTATCTTTGTCTGGTAATTGCTTGAGGGTTCTCCAGGTTTTATCAAATCTAAAAGTGCTCAATGCCTATTAATATTACAATAACATAGCTTCCATAATTAATTTTGATCCTATTTGTTCATTACCGTGTACATATTCTGAATCCCAATACTGACAAGTCTTTTCCTTTCTTCACGTGACAAATTGAACTCAGTCATTAGCATATCCCATAAATCTTTTAGCCTTTTAAGACACAGTAAAACAATATTAGGCTTCTGATCAAAAGGTGAAGACTTGATAATGTGAGGTTTAACAGCAATCAAAAAACAAAGTAGCCCATAGTTCATCCATTGAGTAAATATCAGAGAATAGCGCGTTAGGCTCTTCCTTTTTGTAAAACGAAAAGTTTGATTTGTTGGAAGCACAACATCAAAATAATAAGTATCAATACTCCCAGTCTCCTATGCAGTGGATAAAAACAATAGCTAAAATTTAATACTAAAAATAAAATATGCTTGACTCAGTACTTAAAAGAGACATTAAATTACAGCAGCTCTGCTTACCATAGTTCCAGGTACAAATGTAGGATTAATATTCTGAGCTGAAAAGAGATGTTCCCAAAGATGACAGCAATTCTCTTCATTACCAAACAAAATTGCAGCCAATTCTATTAAGCACTCCACATGCTCCTTGTCCCCCTCGCCTAATTGGGTTCACATATACACATAGGTTATACACTGATTTGGAGGGATTACAGCTATTTGGAACCTGAGGGCAAAACCCAAATGGTTTCTATAATAACTGTAGTCCCCACAAAGGTGTAATAATTGTAGTAATAATACAATAAAGAGTACAGCATCATCTACTTTTGATACTACACTTAAGCATGCTACATAGTTATGCATTGTGCCTGTATGTGCTGTACTATACTAGCTCATGTTTTGATTGTAACAATGTGGTACCAAAAGAATGTCTTGTGCATAGGTTAGTATGGTGTATTGAATATGCACACTTTGTAAATTCACATAAAAATTTGTATCATTCCACACACAGATTGATGAAGGTATATTATGGGCTATAACTGTAAATTACTTTTGACAAAGAAGTCTTTCAGTCTATCAGACGGTGTACCAGCATTGCTTGGGTCAACAATCCACATTAAAAAGGGAAGAAAGAGATCCTTATCAACGTACTGACTGACACTATCTTGCAATACTCTTTTAACTACTGCAGCCCTTGGATTAGTTGGAAAAACCTCCTTATATATAGCAATAAAAATGGACATGTTGAACGTCCATTTTGTCTTATCGGTAGAGGTCTTATTACTGTAACTATATATATAATAAAAATGAAAACTCTTATCAATATTAGTACAATTAAGTAATTTTCATATCATTATATATACAAGAAGTAAATATTACATACCAAGACAAAGCAACCTTCATAAGATCATCCACTCCTTTCTGGCCATTGAATTTGATAATAGACACAATTGATCTGTGAATTTGTGTGTATATTGCATGCCTGCTGGAGTGCTTATTTTTAAAATACAGCAATAGGGGTAGCTCATCTGGAAAGGAAAGATTCTACAAGAAAACACATTGAATTAGTAGCACCAAAAGTTATATAACATTTACTTCTAGAGAAAGGACTTTGTGAATTGGTTGAAGGCAATGATAGTCATGAAGATTTGATTGAAACTGTGTTGTCATCATAGAGAATAATATTCTTTCACTCTTACAAGCACAGAACAACCTACAGTGAAATGAATTAGCCATACTTAAATTAGAGTTATACCTCATAAGTAAGATCAGACCATTACCAGTCAAATCCTTCTTTCCTTTCATAACTAGGTTGTTACTTTCTTCAAGCATACTATTCAAGCCATCATAAGCATCGGCCAACTATGAGAACAAATTGGCACCACAGTTATGGCATAATAAAGTTAATATACCACTTGTCTCTCATTTTCAGTCTTCAGTATAGTGATTGAAAGAGATTTAATGGTCACATGAACCACAACTTGTCTTTCGACATCAACTATTGTAGACAAAGGACCAGTTGTACAGCCATTAAGCTATGAGATATGATTTAAATAAAATATTAACTGCTCTAATAATTGTCAATAGTGTACTTTTTGATAATGTGCCATAAGCTCTTTGAATTTGTGGCTTTCCCCATACAGTCTGTCCAAACTAGTCTCAAAGTACATATCACACAAAACATGTTGGAGCAAACCCTACACAGCAAACATAAATTATGCAATTTATGCATCAAAGTTCTCTGGTACATAAGAATTTGTGAATGTTGCAAATATGGCGGCATTACTTTGCTTTGTGATATCATTTTGGGACAGCATTTGAAGTAAGCTACTCTGTAAAACTCTTTTTTAGATCCTTGATTGATAGCATAGCACAGGCCATTCCTTACCTAAAATTTAATTATTATTTTTACAAATATTCAATATTATTAGGCTAACTTTGTTGGTAAATAAAAGAAGAGGGTTATTTTCATCATCCATTTTAACTGATGCTTCTAATTTAGCATTGCTGTTAATACTCCCTTTCAATAATAAGAGAGAGAACATATGCTTATACATAGCTGCAGTACGCTTCATTCTTTCAGATGTGCATTTACTGACAACCAAGCCAATGATAGAAAAGATATAAGCCATTGTCTCTAGAGTGATGTCATCATAATAAAACGTTATGTAGTGATTGATTATGGTTTCAATGATGGAATAGAAAGGTAACGTTGGATAATAGGTTTGATCATGAAGTAAATTCAGTACATTTTCCTTTTTAAAGGTAATGACTACAACAGTGTCAATCAATACAGTCAAATCAATGATATTTCCCTAGAAATAGTATACGTGTAGTTTTAACAATAAACTGTAATATAAATGCTAAAAAATTACACAATTTTCCCGTGTGTATAATTACAATTCTTAAATACTTACAGAATCAATTGCAGCTTTCAGGCTCTTTGTAATTTCAGTGACAAAATTTTCAGGTGAAATAGCAAAGATGTTTTTCGAATCAATTGTTATCATATGATTAACAAGAAAAGCAACACACAATATGATCCACTTGCTCTTCAGCTGAGAAGAAAATACACTTGTGGAATGAAGCTTGAATAAGCTCATCTGTTGAAGAACAAAATGATCATTATATCATTATGCCATTAAGCAAGTGCATGCAGCTCTTCAAAGTACTTACCATTCTGTAAAAGAGACTTCCAAGATTCTTCATCTTTAGTTTGGACTCACTGCTTGGGTTGGAACATAAAATCAAAAGACCATCATAAAGTATTTCAATGATGTGCTGAACCACTAATGTTTTATCAGTAAGATCTAACTTTTGCTTTAAACTTGAGTGCTTAGGCATGATTTCTGAGCACTCATCAAGTATTCTTAGCAAAGAAAGTGAGTCAGCATCTAGCCATGAAACTCGTAAGTGATAATGCAGTTGAGCCAACTTCAATGGAACATTATCTAAAATAAAAGGACACAAAAATTAAATTATAAGCACTTTGGCAGTGCAACAAGTATCATAGTGTTACCTGAATTGACATGAGCCAGGTGCTGTTGCAGGCAATTCCTAGAAAATATCCCAACAGTTCTGTCCAGTTGCTTTCTTATTGCATCATTAAAATATGCAGCCCAAAGTTGAGCATATTTCAGCAATTCAACCACAACTTTAATGATGCTGTCATCTTCCTAAAGTATAATATTAAAATGGTATTTATTATAGACCTTTCCCACCAATGCAGCGTTAGCAATGAATATCATTAACGAGCCGCCATTTTGTGGGATAGATGTACAGTGATGGATGGACTAAAAGCACTATTTCTTTATTTTCTCCAAGAGAACTACGAAAGCAAAGACCAAATTGCAGTATGATAACTAAAATTATACAACAAATGTGCAATGAGCATTTCTGTGTGAACTAGAGCTTGCATTTAAAAGGAAAATGGGAAAAGTCTCACTTTTTGCCCATTCGTCTTTGTACATCTATCCCACAACATGGCGGCTCGTTAATGATATTCATTGCTAAACACTGCATTGGTGGGAAAGGTCTATAAAGTGTGTACACTAATTGTATACTATAATACTAACCTTAATTAATATTGCGATCATTTTTACTGTTTCTTCAATTTTCTTTTTTGTTCCAGTCAAAGTTACTCCTTCTAACTTTTGTTCTGTCTCATCTTCTGCCACTGCTAGCTCTAGAGGTTCTAGTACAGAGCAAAGAGCCTTGTTGACGAGTGCTTCTATTGATTTGTAGACAACTGGAAAAAATGGAAAGTGAGGCACAATGTTCTTTCTGTCAAAAGAGAGTAATACGGGATAATTGAGAACAGTGAGCTCTAGCCTGATCTCTTCAAGGGACTTAGGAAGTGGAAGAACTGAGAGTATTTTAAGAAAAGGATCCACAAAACTTTCTCCATCTCCTTGACCCATTACAGTATGCATTGCCATGTTTTGATTAATCATGAACAGAAAGTAAAGAACAAAATTCTTGAAACTAGATTGTATGGTAGCTTCTATGGTACTAGAAAGAGAGCAAGTGGAGTGATATGTAACTACATAATTAGCTGCATGATGAGACAGCTCATACATGGTACTTTTTTGCCAGTAACTATTAAATCTTTTCTTTATCACGCTGTCAACTTTCAAATCAATAAGAAGATTTTTCCAACAATTCTTAGCATCTGCCTCACTAGAAAAATCATTTATATATTGTATAGGAATGCTATTTGCAATCATGGGAAGCCATTCTTCAATCCACAAGTTTAAAATGGAATCTGGCACAAAACTTTTTGTCTTTACAGTTTTTGTTGTATTCTTTCGAAGAAGACATATTTTAAGCCACTCTTCCACATTTGTATTTGTTGTTGTTTTTGTCTGTCCAATCATATCCATGTAGATATGTCTCCAACCACTTAGAAATATTGAAGGATAGCAATGAGAGTAAAACATGTTGGTAGGGAAATGAAGTATAAGAAATATAAGTTTGTTGGCATTAAGCTCTTTTCGAGTTAGCTCTGCCTCTTCAATGAGTAGCCTTGTGTGGTTAATAGTGTCTTTGTGTAGCTCATTCATGTCAGCAGAGAGTAGGAGAATGGTACAAGAAGACAAGAAAAAATGGTTCAAAATTGTATTTAATTTCTCCTGACTTGTCAATTTTGTGATTATGTATGTATATATTTGATCAGAATTCATCTCAAAAAACTCAGCTAGCAATTGCTGATCTTTCTCTTCTTCTTCTGTTCTTGATTTGATGTAGAAATGTGCTGGTATAAGTTCAAGAAGGACGGGTGATGTTCGCGTGTAGCAAAGGAACTTTTTGACTACTTGAACATTTTTGCTTTCCTCCATTTGACATTTAATAATATTGCTAAGTGAAAAATGGTGTTGGTGAATAAGATAGCATGATTTATAGTAATTTTCTATTTTTCCACTATGCATGACGAGTGCTTCTGGTGTCATTAGGTAGAGGAGTTGCTTGATGAGATGTATGGTCATTAATTTACTCAGTAAATGATATACGAAGTTTTCAGGTTCATTAAACGAGATAATTGCTTCATTTAAATATTCAACATCCCTTTTAACACGAATCTCTCGTTCTTTTGCATTGGACTGTTTAAAAAATGCCTTGAACCATTCTTCTTCACAATGATTTAAGTGCTCAATTAATTCACTAAATTCCTCACAATGTCCCTAATATACATATGTAGTTAATATAAGTATAAAATATTAACTAATTACACAATAACTAACCAATGATAAAGTTATTCTATATTTGTTTGAAAAACAATCAACAATTTGTCTCACAAAAACTCCTACATCTGTATTGCACTGGCACTGATGCTTTTCATTAGAATCAACCTCATCTGAAAGCAATTTTCTTCTGCACTCATAAAATTCTTGCTTTATTAAGGGACAATTACTATCAGTTTCCTCCTCAGACAAAGAAATAATTGAAAGCAAAAGTGAATCAATATTTTGGTTTGTGAACCCATAAAAACTAGACTCATTGCACTTTTGAACAAAACTCATGATCTATAATAAGAAAATGTATATCACATAATTTAGAATTCTAGCTCTTTTTCTATGTTACTATAGCTACAAAACTCACATTATTCCTCATGCAATCAAAAAAGTTTCTGATGCTTTGACTGTGCTTAGACAAAGATTCCTTAAGTAGAACCTTGTGAGTCAATGAAAACTTTTCAAATCGATTAAGGAAAGGTCTCTCAGTTTGTGACACTTCAGATTCCCTAATAATCATGGCACAGTTAAAGAATGGACTGACACAAGTTGGTTTAATGACTGGACCAATAGCCACATTACAGTAGTAAGACTTCTCTCCGTCATTTATTGTACTATTAATGCAGGTGAAGTGCTGATTAAAGAGATCATAGAAACATTCTTGTATTTCTTCAGCTTGATATATCATAACAGTGTGACCTTGCGTAACAGAATGCCTAATGGCACTTGCAGTGTATAACTGTAAATAAAAAATAGTATTATGCTTATGTATAATACTATTGATAATTACACTCACCTTTTGTGAATCATTGTCTCCTGGTAGCTTAGAGCAAGAGAGTATTCTGGTTTCATTCCTTTTCAGTATACCAAAATTAAAAAGTTGCCTGACAAGCGACTGGTCCTCACTGCTGTCAATAAGTAGCTTGTAGCGATTTTTGTTTTCAGAATTGAGGTCTCGGGACTTTTGTATAAAGCTAGTGCGCAATATATCAATTAGCGACCTTTTTTGTAGTTGACTGGGATTAGAACCAATCTATAGGAAAGGAAAAAGTATATAGAAAGCTTAACTTCATTATATTTATGCTTAATAGTAAAATAGAAAAAAAAACTCACAATTCCTAGGAAAGCTTTCAAAAGTTCATCAAATTTATTTGTCCCACTAAAATTTTGTTCAAGAGCCATCACGACTGACTGTGGTGAAATTATTTGCTGACCAGTGGTATTCAGAGCAGTAAAAAAACATATAAAGTCTCTGAGGCCAAAGAAACTATTATAAACTGGAAGATTCATCATTTGTTCATAAATTTTTATAAAACCCTCAATGATGCTCATGTTGTCGTTAATGCGCTCATCAGGTTGACCATGACAGAATGAGAATCTAGCTAACTGGAGCAAGTCCTCATGTGATGCTTCAGTTCTATATACACTAATAGCACGATTAGTTATAGTAGCATCTGGTACTGTGTTGAACAAACCAACAAATGAAACCTATTATAAAAATGCAAATAGCAATACCATCACAAAAAATTTTGTTATGCATGCCTGTACTTGCATTTTAAGTAAAATTAAAAATATGCTAGTTTACACATGTACATAGGTATTGGTATTGATACTACATGTACCAGTATACACCATACCTTGGGATCATCTAAAAAGCAATGAAGTACTTTTAGAGACTCATGGGTATACTCTGGAATATCAGCTTCATCCATCAGTACCACTGACAAACTCTTGATTTCTCCTTCATCAAAGGCCTTCTGTCGTGATATTGCTCTTTGAAAAACCACCTCAATCTCATGCGATGTCGATTTCCTGGAATACTGATAAAACTGAGGATCCAGGCTCTTAAAAGATTCAAAAGTCTCAAGCATTTTCTTGTTTGATTTTGTACCAAGAAAATTTTTTGCCACAATTTTAAATGAGAGGGTTTTTGAAGAACCAGTAGGGCCAACAATAATAACTGGAATTTTTGTCATTGTGCATACTATGATAGCATAAATATTCTCCCTAAGAGCCTCAGTGGGAGCTATACCTTTGGGTAAATCTATATTTTTAGACACCCAAGTCAGCTCATTAGACAATGCTTCATTAAAAGTTACGGGAATGCTAAACTCTCCAATGGTACGTTTTTCATGCATGATCTGTTTAAAACGCTTCCGAAAACTTTTCTTTTCTTTTCCTCCAGGTTGGACTGTTTTTTGAGACTTTATAATTTCGTCACTCAAACGAAAATAATACACTAGTGCCAATGATATAAAAACTGCACGAACAGAGATCCTAAATTCAGACTCATGTCCATATTTTGTGTCACATGTGAACCATTTCTTGAGATAAGAGTACAACTGAAAAACTCTTTTAATGTCTCTTTGACTGACTGTGCTCTGAGCAAAAAGTTTAGCATCTTCTTCATTTATACCTTCTAGCATTAGATTCTCACAGGCAAAAGAACGGATAAGCTCCTGTGCTTTAGCTATTTGTTGAGCAAGAAAGGTGTACTCTAGCTGAGGCATGTCTTCACATTCAAGACGAAGCTTTTCCTTAATGTATTCCTCTTCATCTCTCTTTTGCAACTGTCCATAATCCCACCTTATAAGCTTGAGTGAAGGTGGAAGGTTCTGAACGTAATACGTAGGATTAAACCAACGCTTCTTTCCTGATTTTGTTACAACTGCTAGACTATTGGCTTGATGAGGTTTGCATGCAGCAACTATGAAGATGTTTCCAGAAGTAGAAATAGACTGTAAATAATAAAAGTATGGTTAATGATATGTACCATTTTCCAAAAATAATTAATCAAATAATTATTAATGATTAAATAATTAGCTATAAACTTAAGTAATCACCTATGCACTTATTTCACAGGGAATAAATAACATTGAAAGACAACTCACTCTTCCATCAATCATGCCATCAATAATAATCTCTTTCATAAAACCAGGGCAACATGAAGTGTTAATTTCATTTAAAAATACCTACATGTAAATAAATAAAATGCCACAAATGAAAAAATATTAAGAAGTATGTTCAAAATAGTGCAACTGTACAACTATAAAATATATTTATTTCTGTAACCAATTAACATACTGTTAAAATTGGCTTTCGATAAAGTGTCTTTAGTTCAGGAGAATGCTTAATAAACGCTTCATAATAAGAGATCAAAGACTCAGCGTGCTTTTGAACAGTACAGAAGAAATCCTCAACTTCTTTTGCAGTGATAGCTACAACAAACAAGACAAAATAGACATACACAAAGTAATTATTTGTAATTAAATATGGTGGCTACCTGAATGAATGTTAATTTTATAGAATGTTTCCCGTAGTCTACCATAAAGAATACCACAAACAATTTCTGCCATTGTCTAAAAATTCAATTAATAATATTTGCGATCACAAACATTAATAAATCAAATTAACTATCAATGTTAATGACCATAAGATATGTATCAAAACAAAGAGTGCTTTCATTTTTGTAATTGTGCAATCTTCAGAGTTAGCAAATTTTTCAGACAACCATAACTCAACAAATTTTTGACTGTGCCATGCAGAATACTTTTTAGAGCCAATTTCACTACAGACCATTATGCATTGTTTCTATATCTAGTATCTTACATTTTCATCACAAGTTGTTTGTGCATAAGTCAGGAGTTCACTAAATTCCCTGCCCTTTTTACACAGTTCGTGTGGAATTTCAAGACTTGCTATGACGGGATCATACATGTTAACTTTAAATTGGCTCTTTAAAGCAGTAAGGAGAGTAGCACTTGAGCTTGATGGATCTTGAAACTTCAGTAGATCACTAATAATATTAAGAGCACTTTTCATATTAGTCTCAATTTTTTTATGTTCTGTAAAAAGGAAAAAAGCATCTTTCAAAACTTTCTTCTGTGATTCATCAAAAGAACCCTTCTTTTGAAGCAAGGACAATTTATTTTTGAAAAAAATCTATGTAAAAAGAACATGAAAAAAATCTGTAACAATAATAAATAATGCATCATAATAATGCTACATACAACAACCACAAATAATAATCTAATATCAAAAATTACTAACTTTAAATCGACTTCTCTGTAGAGTCAACTGCTCATTCCACGAATGATTCCAAAGTGAAGACAGAAGCTCCAATAGGAATGTACTTCCAACTCCTGTCTCTCCTTCAATTACTACTGGCATGCCACACCCCTTCCTCTCATGGATGTTAAGCAATTTGTGAACAAAATCACTAGTGAGAACACACTTCTTCGTCTTTATTAAAGCAATTTCACCCTTTTCATCTTTTCTTACATTTAAAGCAAATGAAAGGTATTCATGAAACATTTTTGTGCTGAGACGTATTCTAAAAGTAACAGTAATATCATGATTTTTACGCTTTAATGACTAACCTATCGGGTGGTATGACAATACCAATACTTTTCAACTGTTCCAATTTTTTGTCAGACAATTCTTCTGGATTTGAACAAAATAATTTAAATGTACCTCCACCATTTCTAACATCATAAATAAGCTAAAAAGCAAAAAGTTATAATGCAAGCTCTGTAAAAAGTTCTTATTACTTGTGTGTGGCATTTTGAGGACCCTGACATGGAAAGTTTGCAAAAGTTTGGTACCTCATGTAGCATTATATCAAATACATTTGATCTCAATTTAGATGTGTTAAATTCACCAATCTTTTTACCATCATCATCAACAACTGGGTAAGGAAGTCCAACGTTATTTTGAAAAAAAACACTATCTTCCATAAAACGGCAGCGCCTTTCCATATACCTATAAACAGCTTACAGTAAAATTGAAATTTATGAGCTTTGATTAGTATAAGTACATATAAGTGCATCAATAAAAAGGAGTATACATCTATTTATATGTGATTAATATCATGCCTCAAACATATCCATTATGCTTTTAATTATTACCATTGTGCTCTTTTTATGCTAATAATAATTATATGGAGTCAGTTGCAATCTTTTCTGATGACTGGCAGCCATTTTTAGTTAAAGGCTACACAGCCAATAGTTGAAATCTGAATCAAAATAGATGCTAGCCTGACTCAGTCCTGAAATCAGTACTATCATTCATTTTGGCCAATCAGTCACAATACAATAATATTGGTAATACAATCATTAAAAGTTTTTGCACTGGTTCAAGCCAGAGTATCAGGCATGATCAGCAATGATACTTGATAGACTGTACTGATATTAGACTTGATTTATTCAAATTGGGCAATATTGCTGATTCAGGCATGATTACTATTGGTTATTATTATATTACAATTATTTAATTATTATTAATATGATATGATTTATATATGTTTTTCCATTTATTCTGGCATGTAGGTTTACAAGAAATTATACAACTTCACCCTTACATTGAAGGGAAATTTACATTGCAAGCAACATAAGAACAAACTGGGGTTGGTCTTATGTTTTATTAAATTTAATGACGCCATAGCATATATTATAACTAAGCTATACTGGTATAACGTTCCCACCCATCATGCTGGAAACTATGTTGGCATATTAGGTACATCCCTAATGCTCATATATATTATAACTCAAAAATATATTTATCGGAAACAGCTCAAACATTTTACAAAACATAAGGACATCAGTTATGTATTTTTTAATGTAATCAAAATTAGGGGCCAATTTGTTGGAAAAAGCCATGAGCTATTGTGTGTCTTTGAAAAATTGGCTCCTTTCTTTAAATCCTTAAAACTCAAAAAATAATTATTTCTTAAAAAGTTCTACGTGGCATAAGGGCATCAATATACATTCAAAATTGTACTACAAATTGGGGGTTATTTCAGAGCTTTTTTGAAAAAACTAGGTATTTTTCAAAAATTGGCTTCTTTTTAAAATGCCCATAATTCAGAAAATTTTTTTGGAACAGCTTAAAATTTCTACATGGAATAAGGATGACATCAATATGTATTTTTAAAAGTGGTGACTTTGGAGCCAAGTTTTATAGCTTTTGTTTTTTTCAAAAATTGGCTCGTTTCTTTAAATGCTCAAAACTCAAAAAATATTTCTTAGAAACAGCTCAAACTTCTATATAGCATAAGAATGTTAATATGTATAAAAAATGTTATAAAAATTTGGAGCATTTTTGGAACCTTTGCTTCTTCAAAAATTGATTTGTTTTCTAAAATGCTCAAAGCTACAAAATAATTTTTTAATGAGCTCAAGTTATCCACATAGCATATAATATCAATACCTGAAAACGGGCACTAAGTATTTTAAAGGCAGAGGAGAGTGTTAAGGCCTTTACACACTGGCACAGTTTTCAAAGCATTTTGATGTGCTTTATTGATACAGCTGAAATAATGCGCATTCATCTTGTTCACACTATCAGCTGAATTATGTATCATTTTGTGTTCTTGTCATTGGTTTACATTAATCTAAGTGCATCATTTCACATCAATCCACCTCAGGAGGTGAAGTGAGAGTGACATTAATTTGAAACCACTCTCATGTGAACACAATTAATGCACATCAATGCGCATTACTTTGGCCAGTGTGAAAAGGCCTTTAGTTTCATTTACTTGAGGTAGATTGTTGTCATCAACTGGTTACCAGACACTGTTGAGGGCAAGTGCTGCCCAATAAGCTTGTGGCACTTGTCTGGCTTCACCTCACCAATGATTCTATCAATCTTAATTATTTTGTTATTACCTGTTTTAATTAGAAAAGAAAGTTATGCATTGTATAAGATAATGGACATACGTTTCATAAGATGATCCAAGTTTTTATCATGGTATCCCTTGAGATACTTACAGACTAACTGGACTCCACTGCTGCTAACATCATAAAGTGATGGAGGTTGTGTTTTCTTTCCAAGGAGGGCAAAAACAGGAAAAATCTCATCAAATTTCTTTACTGATCTTCTGAGTGATTCTTCATCCACTGAAGCCACAGTATTATCAAGAGAGAAGGGGCTTGATGATGTATCTGAAAAATCATTAGAATTTTCGATGGATATTCTGTGATCAATAGCTTCTTGTATAAGAGGAATGTCCCAGAATGGTGCCTATTATAATACATGCATAGTGTGTGCCAAAAGAATGAGTAACACTTGATTTGTAAAATGATAAGGTGAGTATGTTTGAAATTCCTTTATAAATGGATATAAATAAATAAATATAATTGTAATAAATTACTTCAACATAGACAGATAATGATGTGCCTTTAGTTAGTATTAGTGACAAACATTCTGGTGAAGTACAGGTCGAACCATCACTGGACTTGTACTCTATGACTTCAACATAATGAAGAATAAAATATTCAAAAAAGAACCAATTAATCTCATCCACTAGCTCATCAAACAGTGCTTGATAATTTTTACTCTTAAATAATATAAAATACTTAAATTAATAATAACAACTAACTGGACTTACCTGTGGCCAAACTAAATTAATATTCAAATAAATTAACACATCAACAGTGTTCAAGGAGTCGTTTCTGAATCTTCTAACAAATCGTATCTTGTTAAATGTCTCGTTAATGCTCAATATTTTTACATAATTAGCAGAATTATTTCCAGCAGAGTGGTTTTCTCTGTGTTTTTTAATACAGTCCCTGATGTAATAACTCTTCCCACTACCTGTTAGTACGATAAAGCATCAACAATATAAAATTGATTTCATGCATAAATTTAACATTATAAAGTAGTAAACTGTCTGTACATAACATACCATGTTGTCCATAAACAACTTCAAAGTTTTTAAAGATTGTTCCAATGTTACAACTTTGTATTTGTTCAATCATTGAATCAAAATTGGGAAGATTATCCTAAAAAGAAAAAAAGATAAAAAGTTTGTTCAGTTTTAATAATTTTAATTTTTGACATCTTACAATAGTTGCAATGTTTGACTGTGATATCCATGGTATATGTTGAAAAAGAGAAGAGGAATACTCTACTAGATAAATGGAGAGTCTCCTATTGTGATGTTCACTTGTAACTGTAGTTTTGAGGCTTGAACAATTTTCCAAAAATATCTACACCAAAAGTAATAATTAAAAATATAAATTGGGCAGAAAGGACAATTAAGCTAGCTGATTATAATGATTTGTAATATCATCCAAAGCTAAAATAAAGCTATAAGATCTAGTAAGTAAAAGGATAATTCATTGCTCTTACTTGTTGCAGGTCATTACTGATTAGATTGACTCCTAATACAAGATATTTATCAATGCTATAGCACTGTTTCACACGATCAAAGAATAACTCAATATCCTCTTTCTTTGTCCTCCCTGAGCACCTGAAGAGCTGGTGAAAGGTTGGAAAGCTCTCATTAAAAGTCCAATAAATGAGCCTCAGTAGATCTAGGTGGCTACAGCTTAGAGCAGATATTAATGAAAAGGTTACAAGATCCCCAAGTCCTGTTAAAGAGAAGGTACTAAGATCCATTAGTTTCATAAAGTCCAACAAATGAGGCTGAACTGATGAAAGACTGATAAATTCATTCAGGAACTCTCCTACCAGCCTTGCTGGATGCCACAATTTCTTTACTTCATCAGAATCATATTTTTTCTGGAGGCCCTATAAAAATACAATTTCAAGGACTTTTATCATTATTATATGCATTGTAGAATTTTTAGATGCTCAATAACAGGAATGATGTCATCAATTAATGATAATATACATTTGAGATGTTACACTTAAAATAATACAAAGTAACTAATTCCAGCCTGTTCAATATAAAACTCATTTGTTTTGACTAACTTCAAGACATTTATACAGTTGAGGATGAGAGTTGACATCCAAATTAAGGAACAGGCCAACATCTCTTAGAAGATTATCAATATCCTTGAGGCCAATAAGGCTATCATAAATGACTTTAAGCTTCAGAGTATTAATGTATGACAGCAGCTGATACTTTTTCCTATAGAGCACCATATCTTTAACAAATTCTTCTCTTTCCTTATTACATTTTTTAACCTACGTTCAAAAAATCTAAATTTTTATTAGAATAAGCTCAAATATTACATATAGCATAAGGGTATGTATAATCAAACTATAGTTATAATAATTATGAATTTTCTTTTAGACTTTTTAGCAGTATTGATTAATGTCACAAAATTTAACCAAAACCCCAAATTAGGTATTGTAGGATTTTGATTTGTCATCCTTGGTCAAAATATTATTACTGAAAAAATAAAACATTAATGTTACTATCAGAACAATATTTTGGTTCTTAAAAATAATATAAACTTACCTCTGCTTCTAATGCTGTCCATGAAACATTCCCCTGAGTTTCAAAGAGTGTGAATTGTTTAGTAGGTGGGTTCTTGTAGTCTGGATGGCCACTGTATTGAAGATCAGAATAACAAGCATGCAACTTTGTGGCAAATATTTTGTACTAAAAAAAAGCAAAAACACTTATATGAAATCATAGTACAGTGTGCACTTGTGCTAGTTTAATTAGCCCTCAAACACTATGACAGTGTTCTGTGGTATGTGTATGGCTTCTTTAAAAATTTCATGGCTTGGGTAACATTTAGTGTGAATGATTTGTTTGCTTGATTGAGACTCAAAATATTTGTAAGTAAAAATGTGCCACATGAATGATACATTTACTTACCAATTCAAACCACCTCATATTCCTTTCCACCTCTGAATCTGGTTTGCAAGTCATAAAATCAAGTTCCTGAGACAGTGTCTGCAATTGTTTGAATGACAAGACTCTGGCTGACGGCTTATAAACTGGGAGGGACTGCTGTTCTTCAGGTCTCTGCTGCTTTGAAACTATATATTCAAAAGTATGGAAAGTAGTAAAAAATAAAAAAATACTTTTAGCACAATAGAGTTTTTATCCACAAACAGTGGCTGCACTGAGCCTATTTAGAATTGTATGTACAAGAATGTTTGATGACAGAAGTGTGTCTGACACAGGTGTGTGCATAGGAAAAAAAGATAATAACCTTTAAGTCTGTGCATATTTAGGTTAGGGAAGTCTGAGGTCAAAGTGTCTTTCTCAACATGCCAGTCAATGTACCAAGGCGGGGAATGATCTTTGCCTCTCAAATAAAATTCTACTTTTCAATCCCCTTCCAATCCTCTTTAATTGGCTTTTCTTAATTCTTACTTGAGCAATGCATTTGAAATTTAAGTGTAAGCTCCACTTGACTGCCTTCACAAAAATTAAAATAGTAATATCCAGAACTTAGAATTGCTTGAAGAATTTTCTTGTTATTCTCTTGAGCCTCTCCCTATTAAAGAAGAGTTATAGAAATAAATTGATTTAATTTAATGTACTACTTACATTAGCTTGATTAAACCAACTTCTTACGTAATCAATACTTCCATTAACTGTTAACAACTGAGCAATAGCAGCCTCAACATTACCGAGTTTTTGCATGTTATCCCATAAGTCAACTAGATCACAGGTCTTATCAAAGAAAGGAATGATTAGCTTCATAGCAGCTATAAGCATAACTAGTACATCTTTATGAAACTCCTCAAACAGAAGGCCTGTTGTCACAAGGCTGTGCTCTTGCATAAAAGTCTCCATGCCTGCCTCTGAGCCATAGCCACGTTCAGAAGCAAAAATATAAAGTGGGCAGCCTTTTTCCAAATGTGAGAACAAGGCAAAGAATGGATGATCAATTAGACTAGTTCTTTCCTTTATATCAAATGTTGTTTTAATAAAACATACATGCCTTTTTGCTTTAGCATAGTTTACTGATTTTCCTTCAGTTACATTATAAGAAAGCTGCAAAAGATAATGCATAACAGGATCATTGAAGGAATTTATGAGTCCATAGTTACAGCAGACATTGTGCAAACTGTTAACTTGCTTGCAAACATAATCTAATTCCAGAAATATTGTAAGCTTCTCCGTGACATCAATATGCAATTGATAACCATATTTCAATTTATAAAACTGACAAAGTTCTTTATTTTCTTTTGGGATGTCAAGTGCGGCGAGATGTTCAGGTTTAAAAATACTAGTAACATCTTTCATTGAGAGAATGTGTCCTGGATCATCCATTAGCAGCTCGACAAAGCAATTGGCCTTTTTCACAGCTTCATTTAATTTCTTCATTTTGGTCTCGGTAGAATCAGAGTCATTAGATCCTATTAGGAAATGCTCGATACATTTCTTGAGAATCTGTGATTTGTGCAAAATGTTGAAAGCAAGAACATTTATGGATTCATTCAAAGGCTGGAGAAAAATTTGAAGGTGCTCAGCAAAAGCCTCAATAGTGGCAAGTGTACATCCAGTGGCTGCACGATATTTGACCACAACAAACTCTTGTGACTCTTCACTTTCAAATGATGAAATATCATCAATAAGGTGGCTAGATGACTGTGCAACAGAAGAAAGGAGTTCAGCATTTAAATCATCTGGAAATGTAATGCCATAGCTTTGTAGGACTGATTTCACAGTCAGCCTAAAATTAAAACAACAAAGCATAAATAAAAATTTATTACCATTACTATGGAATACTATCCAATAGGAGTGATCACGTATGATATTTTCACACAAAATTGCAAATCTACACTAAACACAACACATAAGCTAAAATTTACCTTGCATCAACTCAAGGATCAAAGTCACACATGCTTTTGGCTATTAAATTGAATAAAATTCTCCATGTTTTATGCTGAAATTATTTGACTATTAATATAAAGATTTGACCCTCCCTATACTAACCTTGCTAAACTGGGAAGATTTTTAGGTTTTGTCACTAACAGATTTTCAATCTTACACACAAGACAATCATATTCTGAAAGACATTTTTCAATTTCTTCCTTGGAAATTTTTTCTCCAATTTCTACCCCTCTATAGACACTGGAAATACAGTTGTAGATAGAGTCATAAGCTTCATATCCTGACTTGATTTCTTCAAGATTAATGTAAGTGATTGTTCTTTCTCTAACATGACTTGTAGTAACTGACACAAGGTTTTTAAGAGAATGAATAGTTTCAATAGCAGGTTGAATTTCAGGAATATCAGCTATATCAATTTCAAAATCACTAAGTGAGAAATTTTTATTCTTTTTAATAAAAGCAGTCCAAATTGTTCTAAACGACAGTGAAAAGAAAACGAGAGTAGAGGAATGTTCTCTGTAGCAGCTAAAATTTGTAAATTCCACATCTTGTAGCTCAGAGTGTACAATAAATAAAGCAGCTCTAATGCCAGTCGATGAAAAAGATACATTCTCTATGTTGACATTATTAAAAGAATCCTTAATACTGGCCAATATTACATTACGTCCCAAAATCTCCAGTGACTTCTAAAATATAAAAAATATCACACATATAAGATTATGTACAGAAGGTATGCAATTAATAATAAAAGCATTAACAGTGTCATTGTAATTGCAAGCACTATAGCCATTTCTGTTTGCCCATGTAAAAATACTTGTTTTTGCTAACAAATATGTTTTGACAACAAAAGTAACCATAAAAAGCTCATGGGGTCAATTACTATTTTATGAGTCTATGACCATAAAATATATACTATACATTAATATGATTGAATGTAATGTACCTTAAGTATTTGCTTCAGTATGAGTAAATTCAATGAATTGTAGAACGTCAAATCATTAGACTATTGTAATAATAGTTGTAAATTTATATAAGGCAGTATAATGAAACTAACAAAAAGTCTGCCAGGATTGTCTTTTAGTTGAGCCAGTAAAACTGGAGAAGAAACATAATTTTTAAGGAACTTCATAAAGTCACTTTCAATTTTTTTTGATGGCTGAAGATTAAGTGACATTAAGTCAATAAAAAAATCAAGCTGCCTGTGTGATTTTGTGTAGACTTCCATTACAGTTTTGAAATAAGAAATTAAATAATCAGCATCAGAAGCACTATAGAAAAAGAGAATGCAAGCAAGAGAAATAGCAAAGGCAAACATAATTACAATACATCAGTAACAGCTTAAAGTGAAGCTTATAAAATTACTGTATGGGAACATGTATATAAGGTTCACATACATATTTACAGCCAGAATTATGAATTGACAATTAGGTTCTTCAAGAAGTGACTTAGGGACAGACTTTCCTAAAAACTCAGAGATAATCTAAATGTGAGAATAAATGTGTAAACATATACACAGAGAACTACAGTAAACTAACACTAGCTTTGTTGAACTGTTCATCAGGCATCAGATAAATAATGTTAAGCAGTGTTTCAGCTGACAAATTGTGAGAACCTGACAGTAAATCTTTTAACTACATATAAAGTAAAAATGCATATAAAAACACAGGAAAAAAACTATATTAGAAAAAATTTAAATATATAACTTGATTAATATTACAAGGAAAATTGATTCAACATTAAGCCACAGTATCAGTACAGAAAATGAGCATCTATTTTTATACCAACAGATAATCTACCCACTTGAACTTCATTCTTTTTAGCTATGCAGTATACATGATTTCATTAGATGAATTAAGATAGTTAGATTTATTGTTCAAATATTTTAGTACTGCAAATATTTGTGGCTGGCACTACTGGCAGTCACAATATTATTAAAAACTTGAATAATAAAAACAGATCCTAGCCAATTAAGCCTTGCACTATTATAGCCCATGGTTTTTCCTGAAAAATGGCTCACTTAAGTTTTATTGCATTTTCTGATACATATTGATGTCATTATTCCATGTAGAAAGTTCAAGCAAAATTCTAATTAATTTTTTAAAGTTATTACCATTTTTAAAAACATCAATATAGCCGTAACACTGTTGCAACAATCATGGAGATACAAATCAGGTCTATCTCTGCACAATTGTATGCTAACCACAGAATCCATACAACAGCCACAACTGTTATGGAAACCAGCCTAACCAGGCTTTATAATAGCCCATGCTTTTTTCAAAAATGGCTCTAAAATTACCCCAATTTTTATTTCATTTATTGATGTCCTTATGCTATGAAGAAAGTTTGAGCTAATTCCGGCTTTAATTTCAAAGTTACAATAATGATCATAGCATACATGTACGTAAAGGTGTAAGGAGAGTTAAAAATTGCATATAATTAAAGGAGCACATTGCAAACATGGAAGTAAAATGTGTACTATGGCTTCACAAGCACGAGCGAAAATTACAGACCAATAAAGGGTGTGGCACTATAGGTATAATGGTTGTAAGTACCTCTGCAGTCACTCTTTTTTATAGAAATTCTTACTAAAGGATACTAACATGATGCTGTATAACTGGCCAGCATCAAGACTTATATAAGCTTTGAGATCTTAGTAAAGTAAAGATATCTTTGTCGATTACTATTTCCTACTCTCACATGAGCAGAGTCACTGTGTTTTCTTTATTTTGTAGCCTACAAAATCAAGACAATGCACTTCCATGTCTGTGTTCCTTTAATTAAGAAATAATAAGGAATCCTTGCCATATCTACCTCCCTTTCTTTCTCCTTCCTCCCTTCGCTCCCTCTTCATCTTGGTTGTAAAACAAAATAAATACCTATAGCTACACAAACCCATTAATGTCTAGAAAAGTTACAAACCAAAGTGGCAATTAATAATAATTTATTGACATGGCTCAATACTAGTTTTACTCTATAGGTAGAAATACTTTGACTTTAAAATCATTTGAGTAGCCTCTAAGATGCATAGTGCATACAGTGTACATTACAGTGTACAGTGTACATAGATACAGTGTACATTAGGTAACTCTTACTTTTTTGTTAAAACAGGATTGATAATCAAAATTTGATTCAATTCGTTCCTCGCCTATCCATTCATATAACTGAGCATTGTGTGATTTATCTGATAGATCAATCAGATTAAAAATAATTTTCATCCAATTCTCAAGTATTGTATTGTAGTAATATGACTCCCATTTTTGCTCATTAATTAACAGAATCAAACATGTCAAAAATTCTTTTCCCTAATTAAAAATTCAGTAAATAATGACAAAATATATGCACATGTTTTTTAAAAAAGTATAACTTACTTCATTTATTACATTATTAGTTTTAACACTAAAATTATTTGCTGCCCTTTTCTTTTGTGAAACAATCAAGCACATTTGTGTCAATGGTTGCAGGAAATCAATTCTAAACGAACCATCTTCTCCTGATTGTATAAGATATTTCACACTTCGGGCAATAAATTCCCTATAATTATACATTAAATAATGATTTGGAGAGCTATACTCAGCAACCACTGCATTGCAAATATTCACTTTTATACATACAGCACTTATAGAATGTATCCCTTGAATATTAATGAAGTCACCATCATGCATCAGCCCCACTCGTTAAAGGAAAAAAATATCAGTCAAATTTGATTGAGTGCCCTAAGAGTCTTTCACAAAATTTTACTGAATTGAATGCTTGCATTAATAAGGGGTACTGTATTTATAATATAATACATATAGGGTACTTTTAACACTAACAAATACCTCTTATTACTGGTAAAAGGATTAGTAAAATTGTCTCACCTCATAATTTCAAAAGTCTGAACTTTGCTGGAAAAAATGACATAAAAATCTTTCCATCCAGCCATTAAATGTGGAGAGTCTTCCAGTATTATTGTCATTGCTTTCAATCCTTCCTCTAGACAACGCAACTCAACCTGATTGAAACCAGACTTGTAATACTGTATAATAGAAAATAAATCAAATCACTGAAAGAAAAAGTGAGGTAGACTAGTTGAGAAATTAAATTGTTATAGAATATGAAATAAATTGAGTCAATAAAAACTGTTACAATAAAGGCTATTTGAAGAATATGTGAATCTCAGACAAAATTTTATAATTTGGTATACATAGGACAAATGACTATAACTTTGTCCCACAAGCTGCCAAAATTTCCACTGTAAAATATAGACCTCCTAGGCACTAAGACTATTTTGTATGAATTATTTACAGTAGCCACCCACGATTAAAATTACTGACGGCAAAAAGCTCTCCACATCAAAGGCAGATCAAAGCCCAAGTTGCCAAAATGAAGCATAGCAAGAAAACTATGTTGCAGCAAGAGTTACCTGGTCTATATGACGTAGTCTGGCCTCCATACTTTCCATAAGCA